TCATGTTGCTGTCTCCAGATTACACTTGGAGTATCAAGAACACCAGGATCCCATATGTCTGAGCATCAGCCTCACCTCTAGGGCTTGTTATATAAACGATTCCTTGGTCTTGTGCATAATACTCTGAGACAGGGGTTCTGGGGAGTGGCCTGAGTGTTTTCTAAGCCCCCACCAGCAATCCTGTTGCTCAGCCAGATCAGGAACCACTGAGATCAGAGATCAGAGAGTGCCCAGGGTGGGTGGGTGGAGTGGGTTTTCAAACCTGTTTAAAAGAGGATTTTTCTCACAGTATGAAAAGGGAGGATGTGTATCATCAGTTATGAGATGTGACATTCCCTGTTGTTCTCTCCACAGTGGGGTAGAGGCCAGGTAGAGAATTCAGGATGCGGCTCTCGCACAAGGAACACCTGTGAATGCCACTCTCTGACACCCGCCCACAGACTCATTTCCCGCTCACTTCTGGGAGCAAACTATGGAAACCAAATTTCTGTAATGTACACATAAAGTCGTATATCTGGTATTGGGGGCTAGTTTTATTGTGGGAAAGGCCACAGAAGCAGGCTGGAACCTACACATCCAGGAACAGAATCCACAGCCCCCCCGGATCAGGTCCCTCCTAGGAAACAACTGCCCCTGCTGCTGAGCACAGACGCCACTGCTCACACCTCTGACACCTGGTGATGGACACTGGACCCCGAGGCCAGGACAGATGTCACTGCTGCACCTGGAAACTGGACATCACTACTGTCACTCAGCCATCTTTACTAAAATGTGTTCTGTACAGTCCCAGCCTCTCTGTCACCTCATTCTGGCTCAGAGTCTGGCAGTGATATAGGAGATAAGAAGAAATTATTTAGACAGGTAGTGAGGGTACGGAAGGCTTTTAATGAAAAGCAGGCTCCAAATTATTTTCTTTTCTAACAAGGTGCAGCCTGTAGTATCAAGCTTCAGACATAGACAAGTAAGCTGGAAGCTTGCATGGGTGAATGCCGGCAGCTGTGCGAATAGGAATCGGATACCTGGGACTGGGCATGATCACAACGGCGACTCTATCTTCCCTTCTCTTTGCCAGGCATGTTTACAGTAAGGAGCAGACAACATGGCGCCAGCCAAGTGGCAAACCCATTTGCATAATAGCATGAGGGTGGGGTGAACAGCCTTCCACTTGCACTATGTAAATATCACACCTGGTCCAACCAACCTGTGGGCCCTACATAAATCAGACACCATCTCCTCAAGCCTGCCTGTAAAATCCAATGCACTCCCATTCCAGGCCGGAATTCCCTTTTGGGTGCCCCTCTCTCTCACAAGAAGAGAATTGTTCCCCTTTGTCTTTCTTTTGCCTATTAAATGCTTTGCTCCTAAACTCACTCCTCGTGTGTCAGTGTCCTTAATCTTCTTGGCGTGAGATGACACACCCTTAGTATTTACCTAAGACAATGACACCTCTTCAGCAGGTGGTCATCGGACTGGTGGAGCTTGAGACTCATGTCCATGATCAACTGCAGGGGTGACTGGAGTGTTGTCCTCTTCCAAGGAGGGAGGTGGTGTCTGTCTTCTCTCAACATTTTGCATGTTGTAAACCAAAAATAAACATCAAAGCCACCCCCTCCTAACCATCTCAATTGACACCCTCAGCCAGGGTGCTCAAAAGTTAACCTGAAAGACTGAGGCCACCATGGGAAGCAGGTGTTGAACATGCCTCATTATGCCCTCTTCTCTTGAAATTCAGGAAAAGCTGACCAGCATTTACCACCAACACAGACCTTCAATCTGATCAGAAACATTTACAGTCTATTCTCTCTGAAGCCTGGCACCTGGAGGCGTCATCTGCATGAGAAAATTTTGGACTCCACAACCTCTTATCATAACCCAGACGTTCCTTTCTGTTGATAGTAACTCAACCAATTGCCAATCAGAAAAATTAAAAATCTAATTATAACCCAGAATCACTACCCCGCAACCCTTGCTTGCTTCAAATTGTCCCAACTTTCTGGATTGAAACAATGTATAGCTTTTTGATGTCTCATATGTTCCTAAAATGTATAAAACCAACCTATTCCCCAACCACCTTCAACACATGTTCTCAGGGTCTCCTGAGGACTGCGTCATGGGCTATGGTCCCTCATTTTTGGCTCAAAATTAATCTCTTCAAATATGTTACCGAGTTTGACTCTTTTCATTGACAGTGTGGAATTCTGGTGTAGTAAGAGGGTTCAAGTGCTGGATGTGAGGGGTGGGAAAAAGTGACACATTTTAATTATTGGAGCAGTGATTCAGGAAGAGAACTTTATCTGGTACCTGGTAGGCACACAGAGTGGCTGAATGAACCAAGACTAATAAATAACATATCCCTTGAGGATAGATTATTACATCAAGTTTTTGTCTATCCCAGTTTATAGTCTAGATTACTGGAGTGGCATTGTGTGATGATGAAATGATTATTCGAACATCTTTCCTCAGCATTGTCTCTTACTAGGATTAAAACACCCAGGTTTGTAAGACCTCAGAGGTTCTGGGTCCACACCAATGTTTTATATTAATATCTATATTTTCTTCTGTGTGGAAATATTTCTGGGGAGAGAATCTCTAACATTTATTAGTTTTTA